TGGAATAAGATGATCTTTAAGGTCCCTTCCAACCCAAACCATCCTATGATTCTATGATTACACCAATAGAGGCTCCTCCTCCTTCTGCTGGTTTAACATGTGAGGAATTCAGATACAATATGCATAGCACTGGAAAGCTTTAACTCAACTGATTAAGAAGGGCCAGTGCCACAATGTTTAGTGTCATTTCACGTCAGATTTAAAAACATAGTTCAAGTTTGGTTTTGAGTCTCCCCTAAAAGCCATACACTAGCCCTAAAATATTAAGGTTTGGCTGTTAGTGCTTTTAGTTCATTATCGTATCAGGAACAAGTATCATAGAATTCCAGGGTGGAAGGGACAAGGATCATCCGGTCCAACCTTTCTTGGCAAAAGCCAAATCTTAAAAGTGTCCAATGTTGGGGAATCCACCACTTCCCTAGGGAGATTATTCCAACATGTGATTGTGCTAGTTGTGAAAAATTTTCCTCTCGTGTCCAATCGGAATCTCCTCAGGAGTAACTTGCCCCTGTTACCCCTCATCTTTTCCATGTGAATCCTTGTAAAAAGGCAGTCTCCATCGTCTTTGTAGCCATCCTTGAAGTACCGGAACATGGTGATGAGTTCTCACCTAAGCGGCCTTTTCTCAAGGCTGAGCAAACCCACGTCTCTCGACCTTTCCTCATACAGCAGGCTTCCCAGTCCTTTGGTGGCCCTCCTCCAGACCCTCTCCAGCCTGTCTAGATTTTTTTTGTATAGTGGGGATCAAAACTGAACCCAGTATTTCAGGTGTGGCCTGACCAGCACTGAGTAGAGTGGGATAATGACTTTTTATCTCTGCTGCTGATGCAACCCAGCATCCTGTTGGCTTTGCCACTGCAACACACTGTTCACTCATATTGAGCTTGTTGTCCACCAGGATCCCCAGGTCCTTCTCTACAGATCTGTTCCCCAGCCAGGTGGATCCCAGCCTGTGTTACACTCCTGGATTATGCTCCCCCAGGTGCAAGACCTTACACTTGTCCTTGTTGAACTTCATAAGGTTCCTGTTAGCCCCCTCTCCCAGCCTATCCAGGTCTTCCTGCAGGGTGGCTCTCCCTTCCGAAGTGTCCACTTCCCCACTCAGCTTGGTATCATCTGCAAACTTCATCAGGATGCACTTGATTCCTTCATCCAGATCACTTACGAAGATACTAAACAGTGCTGGGTCCAGTATCAATCCTTGGGGGACTCCACTTGTGACAGGTTGTCAGTTTGAAAAGGAGCTCTTACCAGCACCCTGTGGGTGTAGTCTGTCACCTGTTCCCCAGGCAATGCACAGACCATTCGTCTATAGCATAACGCATCGGTTTCTCTAGGAAGAGGCTGTGGGGAACCGTACCAAAAGCCTTGGAGACATCCAGGTAGACAAAGTATCCAGGGCATCTGCATGAGGCCAAGTATGACCCAAGGACCACACAAGACCTGTGCAACTTTGGGATAGTGAATAAATTAACCTAGGGAACCTAAAACAGCACAATGCTATGTTTGGGTGGAATTCAGGGTTCCAAAGAATGAAGATGAGAATGCACGACAAAATAATTACTTAAGGTAAGAGGCTGCGTGAGCATGCACAATTCAAAGACCATAAATTTAAAAAAATTGAGAATACAAAGCATCTGACACAGGCAGAAATACACTTGCTAATGAATTGCCTTCCACATTTACTAAAGTTCGTCTCAGTGGGTTTACAGAAAATTGGTCAAGCCTCATGCTGCAACAGTTGCTGAAAGACAACCCTGCACTAATTTAATCTTATAACACAGAAACCAGTTACCTCGCTTTAGTCAGGAAAACTGCTTTTCAAACAGTCTTCCCCACCCAAGAAGTTGTGGGTCCATCAAATGAATGAGAGTATAAGAGCAGAAGAAAATAGTACAATATTGTGGACATCGTATGTGGCCTGTATTTGGGGGGGGGGGGAAATCCCAATCTTCACCAAGCATACTTAACTCTTGTGAAGAGTAGCTGCTTGTTTATGAAAATTTTTTACAGTTAAATTTTTTGTAGCATCCACCCCCTTTTATTTATGAAAAAATACTTACCATCTAACCATGAGCCCAAGCTCCATGAAGTTTTTCAGGTTAGGAAGTGTTTGCCTTAGATCTGGAGTACTCAGCCCATGTTGATATCTAAGCTACAAGAACAGAAAAAACCTAAAATTAGCACTGCTTTCCAAATCTCAGATTCCAATGAATCACAGTCAGTTAATTTACTAAGTTTTCAAAGAAAGTGTAGGATAATCAAGCAGTTCCAAAAGATCTATTCCCTTTAAGGAAATGTTCCATTTAATACTCATAACTTCATATTAGCAAAACCCACCCAAGAACAGGGACAAAATAATCAGTCAATCTGACTGTTAAACCTCATTACTCTTTCCATTTCCTATGTGTAACGGGAGAGCAGCCTCACAGCTTAAGAAAAATACAGTCATTAAGTGAACAGACCAAATTCCAACACAATGTCCTACATTCACCGAGTCAAAAAACCATTTATTTGTGTGCAAGTGCCATCTCTCACCCTGAGTGTATCAATGTATGCTGGAATCAGTATTGGAATTATTACAGTAACGTCAACTAATAAAAACACATACTGTCACACAACTGACTTAAATCTGTGTTCCTTATACAGTTTACACTAACATTCAAACTGCTGCTATTATTCTCATAACTAAACCCAGCATTCAATATCATGTAGCAAAGAGAAAGGCTTCAAACATTGACTTTACACTGACTCCATGCAAACGTTGACTTGTTTTAACCTTCAGATTATCAAATGAAGTACGCATGACATTACCATCACTTGTAATTATAAACTACTTATTTAAGAAGTCCCCAAAATAAAAATACCTCTCAAGAAAACAGCGCATGGAAGGGAAAAAGTCTGACTTACTTTCAGGTTTGAATCTCAAAACTTCAGGGAGACTTTGCAGGAAAATATATCCCTCATGCAGTTAAATATGAGAAAAAATATCCCTAAATTCCAGTATCTTTAAGGCTATTGGAATGAAGCAGTATCAACTTAATATGCAGTTCTCAGTGGAGTTTAACAGCCTCTAGAAGTCACAGCTGGCCTCCAATATACAGATACAGTAACTGCCCAAATCTGATACTGATAGAGCTACTTGCTGAAACATGGAACAATCCCACTCAAAGTTAAACTCATCTTTTAGAATTACACACCTGTTTCCATAATTCATGGAAGGAAGGTGCAGGCAAGCATCTTCTAAGTTAGAAAGATTTCTGACTTCTCCCAAACAATGGGCCAATCAATTTTTTCACAGAAAAAGACTCTTGAAATTGGGAATGATTTCTCTGCTTGTCTGAGTTTTAGAAAGAAAAATTACTTTGGAATAAAATCATCCTCAGTACTGCATTGTACAACAAGAGGCCATTTATTACGCAGTTTATTATTTCCATATGGAGACAGTCAAGTCATATGGTGGGCTTGGATTCATATTTTCTGCTACAATGACAGAACCTGGATTAAGACAACCATACAATATAAATTACTAAACGATCACCACATTCTCCTGATGGGATTACAGTGGATTTGGTTAACCAAAGAACTAGCCTGGGGCAAAAGAAATAAAAAAAGGAAAGAAAAACAAAATCAAAACCATTACATTTGTTCCTCCTACCACAATCAAATGTTCACAGAATACCCCTTTTTATAGTCATCCTTAAATTCTAAGGTTTCAGAGCATGAAAAGATTTGGATTAAGGGATCTCTCTATTCCCAACAGCTCAGATCAGAGGAATGCGTGTGAGACTCTTGTATCAAAACATGAGCAAAAATACTGTTTCTGCTAAAACCCATTTTCATATTGCAAATAGTAGAGATGTACAGTAAGTAAAGCTAGGATGTAAGTCTTGTTAAACCTCTAGAAAAAAAAATCATTTAACTTTATAAACTGCATTCTATTTTGGCTTTGTAACAGCTTAAAACCAAAGCAATATTGCCTTATGCATCTGTATCAATATAAGCTGACAATCATGTATTTACAAACCAAACCTACAAGTAATCCCAGAAGCTGTTGAAAAACTCACCTGCCTTTTAGTGACAGAAAATAATAAAAAAAAACCCCAAATAGTTGAAGCAGAGCCATGAGTGAGTTCCCAGGTTTTAGTCTGGTTCCAAAATTACCTCCTCATTAATGCAACAAGGTTAACTCCTGCTTCACAGTGGTCTGCAAGTCTCACATACCCCCAAAAAGAAATCTCGCTACTTCTACTGACTGATAGAACCTACCACATGTACAGCATACAGCAAACGGGAGCAGGGAAGGAGAAAAAAAGATATTTCTCTTTTACTTGAGAGCAGAACTCCTCTTCCTCCTGCTCTTACCCTCTGCCAATGCTGCATCATTAGTAAAGACAGACTGTTCTTTTCCCCAAACTGTAAAGCATTTCGTATACACCTTTCCTTAAGTTTATTGTTTTTTAACAGCCAACACCACATGTACAGGGATAGTTACTCCACCTCATCCAATAAATAGCAAGACACTGAATATCAGTAATAACCATCATCTGCGACCTGTTACAGTAGGATTCACACAAGAACATCAAAATCAATTTTTAAAAGAAAAAAATGTAGGGAGAAGACAGCTGTTTTGCTCATGAGAGTTAAAAGGAACTTAAAGATAGAGCTGTGCATTACGGAAGATGTAAAGAGAAAAGAGGCGAGGAGGAGAGCAGTGAAACACGAGGTCTGGGTAAGAAAACAAAAGCAGAGAGAGGTGACCAGGAGCTGTCTTGACTCTCCTAAAACTGAGTTCACATTTGGGTTGTTGCTATTAAACATCACCTACCTCCACCCGCCCCACGCTAAGTTTCCAAAGAAACCAAGTATCATTTGCAAAAGCAGCATTTTATTTGAAAATTAGATTGTTCCTTCAGGATATTACAGCCCCGGCCATCCAAAGGAAACGTGCCTGTTTTGAGTGCACAAGTGTCCAAGATTTGTGTTCACATTTATGACCGGGTATTCTCCATGGGACTGTGAGTAAATCATTAATGATGTTCAAGTAATAAAATATTAATTGCCATTTCCTTACTAATATTTAGCTCCTATATACAGCTTTGTTTTCCCAAGTGCTGTGTTAAATGTTGCTTGATTGAACAAAAACACGTAGTAAACATGAACTGGAAAACAAATAAGCTGAAGACATCAGAGACTTCAGACAGGAGTCTGAGTCTGCTCTCAGAGCAGTTACTAGCAACACTTACTCCACAGAAACAAGATGTAGCAGATGAGATGCATCATATTTCACAAACAGTTCGAGACAGAATAACTTAAGGGATATTTAAGGGAAAAAGTCTCACTTTGTAATTTCTTTCAATTATACAGATTTACTCCTTTTACTCATCTCAAAAAGTGAAAGTTTCAATATTCTATTGTACTTTGTTGCTTTGGTTTCTGTGTCAACTGACATCATTCCAAGTTATTTAATTAGAGATGTAACTCTAACTGGGGAAAAACCCACAAAACCCACAACAAAAACCATACTCATATAATCACAGAATTGTTTTGGTTGGAGAGGACCTTTAAGATTATCATTTCTACAAGATTTTAGAAAACAACTCTAGATTCATCCAATTAGATTACTTTCTCAGAAAACTTGTATCCCCAAACTTCTGACACTACAAATCCAGTGTGATAAACTTAAGAATTTCAGCATGATGAAAAGACTTTGAAGAGAGGATAGACGCTATTTATGACTGTCAGTAGGTAACTGCCTAGACTCCTTTTGTAAAATAGGAGTATTTTGTCCTATGACAATTTCAGGAAGTACCTGTACAGAAGATCCTGAAGAAAAAGGAGATTAGATTCATATTAAGGCCAACTCTACCTCTATAGAAGACCAGCGCATCATACTAGTGGGTATTTTATATTATACTTGCTCTTTATTCCAACATCATAGAAAACTATATGTTTAACTAAGCTGCATTTAAAACAATGGTTCCCCAAGCGAAAGGCAGATTTATTCTTAAAACTTGTATTAGCTTTCTAATAAAATGTTTAAACACTTAATTTGCATCAAAGACTAAGAAAATTGTTCCAGCTAACACAACCACAGCATTAGCTGTAGGTGAGGAATGACAAACAAATTAAAGTTAACTCGTAACAAGTTGGACATAATTGGTTTAGACTCATTAGAGAAAAAAATAAAAAAAATACTCAGTTGCTCCAGTTTCTACCTGCATTTCCTTCTGTGCAGCCATTTGAATGTCTACCAGAAGGAAGCTGTCAGTCATCAGCAGTGAGTCAGCTCCACTCTGAGCATCTCCAAACCACTCCTGACATCCAAGCATCTCCCAAGTAATTTATTTTGTCAACTAGAGTGTCGTATTTGATTGAAATCATGTCAGACAACATAAAAACTTACCACCTTCCTAAAGGTAATAATTCCACGATAAAACATTCATTTGCCAAATTTTGACAAGTGTAGCTACTTCATTTGTTAACTAATTAATATACAAACCTGCAAAGGTTCAGTTACTCTCCTGTAAAGTCTGTAAGATCAGCAGTACTGGAACTATTAAAGTTTTTCAAATAAGTTGCCTTAAAAAGAAACCATTTAGCTATCTTTCTATTTCTGAGTAATATCAGATTGCACCCAAGATCAAAATTAGGGCTTTTGCCACTAAGGGGCTGCCTCTTAAGAAAAATAACAATATCCTGCATTTACGTGCAAAGAAGAATAGCCCATTTCCTATACTAATTCCTGTAACAGTATTTAATGACTAATGGTATACGAGCACACACATTTACTTCCAGCCACAAACCACAGAGTACCTTGACTGGAATATCCTTTTTTGGGAACGCAGAATGACTCCAATTCCAAACTCATCTGTTCATCATTTACCATATTGTTTCCCCAGCCATATCCATCTTGTTTCTAAGACATATGGAAGCAGTCTTACAGCTCAGACTATGTTAATAAAGTTCAAAATACCAGCCACTTCAGTACATGTTATGCATAATACGCGAGTCTACAATGAAACCTCCAGCATTTTTGCGCTTCCCTTCCTCTCTACTGCAGGCAACTGGTCCTTGATGTTGTAGCACCGTCTACTATTCGTACAAGAGGTGGACCCAACCCACTACAACAGTACATGAGCTCGCATAGTGTAA